TTTGTTATTTGCATCCCAGACTGCTATTCTGCCAGCGGACTGGGAGATGTCTTTCAGATCCACCATTTGCCTAAAGAAACTTCTCACAGTCCTGTCAGAGCTACCCTTCAGACCTCAGGCGTAACTTTCTACAAATGTTCTTTCTCAGCCTTCTCCCGTCTCATCGGTCCCTTGGCACATTTGTCATCCCCTTAAGGGTACTGCAGGAGCAGGACCAGACAGACTGGCACGACAGAAAGTCTGAAGTGATCAGCCCAACATCCCTGTTAGTAGTAGGAGTAGCTGTGCCTGCATTTGACAAAGTTGAGAGCGGAGATTAGAGGACTTACCTGAGATCAAAAGGTCTTCTATTTCAAATCTAAGATTAGTTTGTCTGATTAGCTGGTCACAAACCATGTGTCACATAGAAGAGAGCAGAGCTTTGCAGAAGGAGGCCACCTGGCTTGTTGCTTCACTGACTGGAAGTGTATTGGGGACAGATACCACAGATCTGATCCTTAGCTTTCCAGATGCAAGAATTATTGGGCCCTTTCACTTGGGATGATTAAGCTGAGAGGGATTAATTCATCATAGTCAAACTTACAAGAGACTGATGTATAAATTGGCTTGTCATGTTATTTATAATAGGAAGTATTTCTCAGACTTGAACTTGTGGACCATTGACTATATCCCCATTTGACAAATACTGCTTTCATACTTACATTATGAGACGTTAAATGGTCACCTGATTGAGATGGCCCTAAAGGTAAATCCAGTGTGGGCATTGATAGTACATGGCATTACTCTGTAAAAAGGTGGTGATCCAGGTGATGCTTTTGCTAACATTTTTATATTTATCTTTCAAATGAAAACACAACATTTAAAGATTATCCTAAGGAATTCATGGACCTCTGAGTATTTGATTAAAGACTCCAGTGTGAAAAACAGTGCAATAGGAGAAGGCTTTGTTTGAACATTGGGCCCAGTTATGTATACAGGATGCTCTAAAGCAAGTCTACTCAGGAAACTGGATTGTAGATCTGAAGGCAGATTGTTGGGTGTAGAATAAGGGCAGAGGGAGTTGGCTGTTCTCAGGGAACACAGCCTGTAGACAAGGGGAGCTAGTTATCCTAGCTGTACTTTTCCTACAAATGCTTCTGTTTAAAACTACCAGTCATGGAGAACAGAGTTCCATCTTTCTTGCATTATGGTAGAGAAGCACTGACAAATTATTATCCACTAACTTTCTTTTTCCTACACTCATCTTGAATCCGTGAACTCTCTCTGCCAATGCATCATTTCTAGGTAAATAGGATGTGGGCTCTCTTCCTGACGAGGAAGGAGCTTGGACCAGATTGGTGGAACACTAAAGCCCATGCATGCTCTTTCCAGTTAGCATGTGCCTAGTTTCTATCACCAAACTAAAATTATGAGGGTCCCTTATATTCTATAGGAGATGATGAAAACAACTTTTAAAAAAAAATCTCTTCCAGTGTAGTCTATAGCAGACTCTGAGAATCCATCATTCTTCTCTAATGATTTTGCCCCGTGTTCTCTGGCTACTCCTATTTTAGATCTGCCTTTAGCAAACACTCCCCTTTCCCACTTCCAGCTTCAACTGAGGAACTGGAGAGCAGTCGCCGCCCATTGTCACATACTCCCTCCTGGCTTTGGAACCAGCCTGGATTGGAGCCAGACTCAGTGCTGGGCTGCCTCCAAATGGGCCGGAGAATGCATCCTGTTCCCAGGCGGCGATTCCAAGGGCCGTGTGCAATCACCAGTTCTTCCCTGGCCCATCAGAGCCTGGCAAGGGCATGTAACCCTTAAGCCATTTGGCCAATGCCTGCCTGTTCTCTAGTAGGGTCAGAAGTGGGGAGAGGGATGCCTGGGAGGCGGTGAGAAATGAGAGGGCTCCCAGGGAGCAGGGCTCTGGAGTTTTCCCAGTATCCCTTCTGATTGGTCAGTGCCTAGGCCATCTGAGTTGTTAAGTATTTTGTGTATCACCCCTGCATCTGAGACAGGCAGCAGTCAACCAAATGGCCTAGAAGAAACTACATCCAAACGCATGGTACAACAGTAAGACATTCCCATTGGGTGCGATGCCCAGGTTAGGTGTGTTGAGGCGGACACTATGGGCAGGAAAGTTGGGTGTTGCTGGAAGCTGGAAATCAGGGAATGATATCACCTTTCAATCATTACTTGTATAACCTTGGGCCAAAGAACACCTGGGTTCTAGCTTTGGTGATTGGGTCTCGAGCAAATCGCTTCATCTTGTTGCAGTTAATTCACCTACACAATAGCAGGATGGTTGAGGTGATAGTGAGATACAGCTTTGCTTGGTGCAGGTAGGAAGTCAGGAATGCAGTCCTGAGAATGGATGGCGGCAGTGATAGTGTTTATTTATAGGTTAAGTCTTCCTGTGGAAGAAAGCATCCATTTTCCTCCTGTATTTTAACAGGATATATTTACGTTCTAGACCAGGCCGTGGAGCTGAGCATCTGGCAAAAGGCAGAAAAAATAAACAGGTGTACTCAACGTCAACCTGATAATTTGCCCAAGAGTCTCAGTATTTTTGCTCCAAGCAGGACGTGTGTCTCCTGTCGAATCAAATCACAATTAAACCATGCTTCTTTTTGCCTTGTAAAAACAATTTTTCATGTCATTTAAGTTCTTTCTTATTTCCCCTCTGAAAGGGCTCCTGTCATGCAGCCAGATGTGACATTGCTCTCTGAGCACAGGGTAGGTTATGGAACCGTCTGGCATGGTTTAGTTCATGATCACTGCTTTCAGTACTTGGTAAGACAACAATAAAAAGAATCATTCGTTGGTTTTATATATATATATATATATATATATATATATATATATATATATATTTGTGCAAATAGAGTTGCTTAACAGAAGAAAAGGAAATAGAGCAACCGTTACTAAATGACCCAAAAGCAGAAGCTGAGTTCCTTCCACATGAGTGTTCAAGTGTTTCAGCCACGTACTCTAGTCTTGGCAGCTCGGAATTAGGGAAGGCCCGAACTGTGTCGTGCAAAGTCCAAGGCAAAGGTCTACGAGCCACCAGAGGAAAGCGGGCAGGTAGATAGGCGCGTGGAGGTGTTGGGGGTGAATGCTGGAGCAGAACCACTCAGCATGAGCCCCCCTCAGAAACTGAGTGATAATCACATAACAGCAACACGCACTGCCTACTTTCTGATTTCTCAGATCACGTTGTGTTTCAGGAACTTTGTCGAGACGGACTCTGTGCAAGACCAAACCCCTGACTGGCTCTACAGCAAGATAATTTGCTAGAGTGGGGAGCCATTTGGCATCTGAAAGTCTTGAAAAGACCCGTATTACGAAATAGCTTCGAGTCTGGGACAGAGATTACGATTTTAACAATATGCACTTAAATGTGAATTGTTATCATTAGTTGGACAGATATCAAATTTGTCCAACATGGAGTTCCTAGCCTCTTTTAGCCCCATAAAAGCCATAAATAGAGTACCAAGTGGGAAATAGAGGCTGCTGGGTGAGTGGTAAAACAGCTGATTGCTTCTCTGGCAAAGGGAATTTTCACAACTCATTCGTGTGCTGCTGAATTAACGCAAAGACTTGCTTGGTATCTGTTTTTCATCCTGAGAAAAGAGCAGCCGTGATTGTAGTTCTCGGAGGAGAAACGATACCTGACAGAGAACAGCCCTGCCAGGTAGGGCCCGAGTTTTCACAGGGAACGCTTCATTACACAGAAAGGCTTTAGGGGTGGTATTTTAGCACATTCTACCCCAGAAAATTAAGTTTTCTGATTGCTCTTGCCGTTAAAACTCCAGTATAGCAAATATTTGGAGTTTGCCCTCCAAATATTTGCGAGGCTCTCATTTCTGTGTCCTCTGACCCAAACCCACTGTGAGGTTCCCCCAAAAGGAGAAGGCTCTGCCTTTGTTCTCAACATGTTTGCCATTGGCTGGGGGAGTCTTTATAAAAATGGCTACCTATGGTTCATGACTCTTATTAGTGAGATGATCCATATAAATTTGACAAAGGAACTGTTCCGATTTGAGGGCTTTAAAAAAAAAAAAATCTCAGGTGTGTGAAGATTATTAAAAGCGCTTGGAACCAACCACTTGCTCGGACTGGTAGCCAATTGGCCAATTCTTTTGACCTGGCGACCAGAGATTTTTAGAAGTAATTCTTTGTGTCATGAGGCTGAGCTGCTTATTTTCTTAGTATGTCCATCTCCTTGCTTGCTTGGGAGGAAGAGAGCTTGCAGGACCCCACTGTCCTCTGCTTGCTGGAAACAATGTGGACACAATGGCGGGCCCAACGCTCTCGTCTGTTTAACTGAGACACAAGTCGGTGCTTAGCTCTGTTTTCTTTTGTTTTGTTTTTGTTTGCTTGTTTGTTTTTTGTTTTTGTTTTTTTATGCTCAACTCTTACCTGGGTCACCAGTCAGAGCCCCCTGGGTCCTCCCTAGTGAGTTTATCAGTCACCTGCTGGTGTCACAGTCTCTGGTCCTTCTACCTCCAGCCCCTCCCATGCAACAGAGCCGGACTATTTTGTAATCCTTCTCAGTGATGGCGTCAGCCTTATGAGGCCCCTCTTTTGGAATTTAGTTAGCAGTCATGCATAGAACTGAATGCAAGCCCCTCACCCTAGAATTTGCAGCCTTCCTCGCTCCACTGGGCTCGGCTGACCTCGGCACCTAAGCCTTGCTGCTGTGAGCTCCGCTGCGCTGCAGTCTCTGCTCTTCTTTCCCCTTCCACTTTCTCGTTTTCCCTTTCCCCACCTTTGCTCTCTGTCCTTATACTGATCTCTTGCCTTTGTTTGTACCATTTCTCATTTTTCCTTCTGTTCATTCATTCAATAGACATTGAGCTTCTACTGTATCCTGGACAGCATTTTGGGCCTTGGGGATACACACTGTACAGTTTGGATGACGTCATCCCCTCTTTTCCCTCAGTGCAAGGCACACACCGCCCTTAAGAGCCCAAAGGTTTCCTTATTGACTCCTGCAGACAAGGAAGCCAGCTGAGTATAAGGGTTTAGGAGCAGAAGCTTGGGAATCAGATAAATCTCAGTTGGAATTTTGCTCTGCAGCAAGCATCTATGGTATACTAGGCAAGGTATGCAAGCTTTTTTTTTTTTTTAAGATTTTATTTATGTATGTGGGAGAGAGAGTGAGAGCATGAGAAGCGAGAGAGTTAGAGGGAGAAGCAGACTCCTGTTGAGCAGGGAGCCCGAGGTTTGGCTGGCTTGATCCTGGATTCAGCCAAAGGAGGATGCTTAACCAACTGAGCCACCCAGGTGCCCCCAGTACACAACTTTTGCAAGCCTTCTGGTGGCTCATCTATCTAGTGGGGATCTAGTGGGGATCATAGTTCGTGGTGGGCTTGTTGAGAGAGTGGCAAGGGGGAGAAGTCCGTGGTGGGGTTGCCCTTATTATCTTTGTCTTCTCTCAAGCTTCTGCGGGAAGTGGTGCCTGGTTAAGAATGAGTGAGTATCGCTGGCAGTGCTCTTGTGTGTTTCATGAAACCCCTTCCTCACTCAACAGCATGCTACAAGTGTGTGTGAATGTATGGAGAGGCAGAGGACACTTGACTGTCTCGTTTCTTCTGCTGGATCCCCAACTCCTCAGGGACATTGGCTTCTGGCTGTCTTTCTATATGACTTCCCCCCATGATGATGGACAGACTCCTGTGAACTGAAAGCCATCAGGAGAGAGGTGGAAGATTTCTTAGTTGATCTGAGGCTAATGGGAGAGGGAAACTTACAAAGCAGAGGGTGCCTGAAATTTCCAGCTAGTGTTAAGCGGCCATAACAAAGTATAACCCATGGCTTCAATTTGGTCTGTCAAAGATGAAATTAAAAGTGAATTTGAAGTTTCACAACATAGTTCTCTCTATTACGGGTGCCGCTGTGCATTAAAATCGTCTGTGTGAGGCTCATTGGGATGGGCAGAGATTCAATCACTGCTAATGGCTTAAGGAAATGGGGTGGTGAGAATTAGGGTCATCCATCCCAATTGGGGCAAGAAAGAGAATCAGGAAATGTGTTTTTCAATCTTGACATCTTGCCAGCTGGAGCTAGAAGGAAATGTTTTTCTGAACTCATTGAGCAGCCTGCTCACAAATCATAGAGATAGTGGCATTCAATGAGAATAGAAACAATTTTTATGTGGTCTAGCTAAAGACTTGCACCACCCACTCAGAGTTGTACAGAGCACGCCTTAGGGACCCTTGAAACTGTACTGGCTCAAGAGGCAGAAGCCCACTTTAGCAAATGCTGTAACTGGCTTTATGCAATGGGGGTATTTACATGTTTCCCAGTAACATTAGTTTATTTTAAGAAATATACAGTATGCCTATTTAACCATCAATAGATGGCTAAGATTTCATTTACTTGGTATAATATTTAGGTGTGGTATCTGGTTTTGCATACCGATGTTAAATAGTCTTAAAAAGAATGAATATTCTGAACAGTTTACAAACCAACTTTGTCGTCTTCAAAAAATATTTTTTTACATGATCTCATCTGGTTCTTATGACAACCCTTGGGACAAGGTTCTGGGTAGATAATCGTCATCATGTCACAGGTGGAGAAAGAGAGAGATAAATTCTCAAGTCACCAAGCCTCTAAGTAGGAGAGCCAGGATTAAGATTCCTAGTGGCCATTATGTTTATTATTATTATTATCATAATCATCATCATCATGATTATTATATTGACTTTCTGACATACTTCTCTGCTTTTTCTTCCCTTCTGTCCTGTACTCAGAGATTTCTGGAATGTGTGTGCCCCTGAGCTGCTTCTGTCTACCCTGGGCTAGGGAGTATAGGGTCCCTGACTGAGTCCTTGACTTTCATGGTGGCAGGTAGGGGCTGGAAGCCTGGCCTGGCTCTCCTGGCTTGTTTCCTTTGCCCGAGGCCAGGCCTGAGTGGGATGGTTGGAACTGGAACCCTTCCGTGTTTTTCTGGTTTCTAAAAACGAAACAAGGCAAGAAACCCCTGCAGCAGGGAGCCTTAGTTCCAGGAGGGGCATTCCCTGCTGGGCTCCTCCTGGAGGAGGGTCTGCCTTAAGGCATTCCCTGTCCCCAATCTTGGTATGTGATCACTCTGGCAAGTTTTAAAGATATATCACATTCAATGTCCAGATCTAACTATTGGCTTAAAATAAAAATGCAGTAGGTTACATGGTTTCATTTCATTAATAAATAAAACCAAAAAAACCTTTATCTTAAAGTTGGGAGCCACACATGTTTGCTAATTTATGATGAAGCTTTATGAAGGGCCCAGCCCTAGCCCCAGAGGCATCAGGCTGGGTGACTAGAGTCCTTCTGGGAAGGAGCACTGGAGACCAGCCCAGGTAGACATTTGTTGGTTTGGTGGTGGGGTGCCTTTCAGCAGGGGCCAGGACTCTGGCAGTTCATAATCTGAAAGAGAGATCATTCAGTTACTTCTGACCTTTGCTTGAATTTGCTTTCAGGGGGAGGAGGAGGGAAGAAACATACTGTAAATTCTAAGTAATGGAACTTTTTTATGTTGGAAGTACCAAGGTTGCGTGAACAGGGGAGGGAGCAGAAAACAGAAAGCCCTCGCTCCCTGGTATCTGGAACTCATCCACATCGCACATCTGCATTAATCCTTCTGCCTGTGCTTTTCATGGTTGTTTCTCAGGGAGAGGACCTGAGTTCTAGATGTTCAGAAATCGGAACCATGGCAGGGGAAACCCAGAAACATTTAGGAGCTCAATCCGGAGCATGCAAAAGAGTCACCCCCTCCCATTCAGCCCACTTGACACACTGCCTGGATACAGGGGATATGCTGGATGCCAGAGGCTGTGGGGAAGGCATGACTTAGAAGGTCTCTTTAATAGGCTATGAGAGTATGCTTTCCCATGTAAACTCAGAGACGTCTGGGGAGAGAGAGAGAGAGATTGGAGGAAAGATGGGTGGAGGCAGGGAGAACCTTCTCTGTTTAGACTAAGCCAAGAGTGCAACATCAGCCATCAGTGTGCCAGAAGAAGGCAGGCGGAGAGCCAAGGAGCTCTGAGCAAAAGCTAAGCATGGGGCAGGCCCCTGGCCCAGCAGAGTCACTGGCCTAGAAGAGCTGGATGGTGCCTGCCAGTTGCCTCAGCAACAGGGGTGGGGGGGTTGGGGAGGGTGGGGGAGGTTGAAACCCCCTGGAGTTTGTGAGAACTCTGGGCTTCAAGGGAGGGACTCCTTATCCTTTCCTAACAGCCTGGGGAGCAGCTGGAGAGTCTGAAGGGACCTGGTGGTTTGGGCTTCAGGAACCACTTTCTTCCCAGCTTTTGTGTGACCAGGAGTGGACTGTGTCACCGCAGCAGCTGAGCATCTGTCTCTCCGGCTGCAATCTGCATGTGAAATCATTCTTGTCCCTGCATCCTAACCCGTTCAAGATAGCTATGACTTCATTTTTAAGTTGTGCTTTTGCTGACTGGGATGTGCTCCTCTCCCAAGTCTCTGTATCATAGTTTCTGAGTCTCCAGTTGTCCTCCACGACTTCGCTTTTCCTCTCTCCCACGCAGGCAAGCAAGAAACTGAGCATCACGATGCTTGAAGTGTCTCATCTGCCAAGTTCTAGGAGTTTCAGGCCCCAGGGAGAGGAGGTGGCCTCATATACACCAGCTGTGCGCCGCTGCAGCCTGGGGGGTGGGGGGAGGAGGGTGGGCAGGGACGGGGGACCTCCAGGACCAGCCTCCTCCAGTCCTGGCACCACCCTCTCTCTTCAGCCCTCTTATTTTCTAAAACTAAACTGCATTCCCGAGGCTGCCATACTCGATTTCCTGGCTCCCAGAAATCTCTGGTGTGAGAGCAGGCAGAGGAATCTCCTGGGGTGTATTTGGAAGGAAGGGAGAAAGCTCAGGCTTGGATAACTTCCACAAGCGGACTCTAAATCAGTGTTTTTTAATCCTGCTGCACAATAGAATCATCTGGGAGCTGTTAAAAAATTGCAACGCACAGGCCCAGGCCAGAGATTCAGTTCAACGGGGCCTGGACAAAGGTTTTTATTTTTCTTTTTTTGACAAAGGTATTTTTGGGAACAATTCCCAGGCGCTTCTGAGATGCGACTAGGGTTGAGAACCACTGATGTAAAGGTCCCTGTGTGCTACATAACGAGTCCAAACCTTATTTGTCTGCAGGAAACCCCCAAGTCTGGGCCAGTCAGGCAGCTGGGCTTGGTGGTGGAGACCTCCTTCTTCTTCTCTCAGTCTACCAAATACGCCCTCTACAGAGTTCTAAACTTAAGGGAGGCAGCTCTGGGTAAAAAGAACCCAGTAATGGCACCATTATAGTAAGGGAGCTTTTGGAAAATCAGCAGAGGAGAGATACAACCTCAGAGCACGGGGCATGGGGCGGGGGCAGGCAGGGGGCAGGGAGAAGGAGAGATGAGTTGATTTTTTTCTTTACATCTAAAATAAAACCCAGAGGAGGGTGGGCGGCAGACAAGAGGAGGGAAGAAAGGGAAGTGAAACTGCAGACGGAGTCATGAACGAAAAGGAGAGAATCCAGGAGACAGCACCCACCCCCCCCCCCTCCCCCCCCCCCCCCCCCCCGCCACCCTGCCTTGCACACCTGTTCTTTGAGAATCTCAGAAGGTGGAGCTTTTGACTCAAGCAATTCAAGTTGCAAGAGGCCTTCCTTGGAAATCTGTCCCAAATCTCTGAATAGCTATGGCTCTGGTAGCTGCTTTGGGACAGTTATTTCAGTGTCCCAGAGGAAAGATATTTTGGGGTTTAGTCCTTGCCAGAAATAAGAAGCCAAGGGAAAAGGAGAAACATTACAGAATTTCCAAAAATATTTTGATAGCAATGCAAAACTTTGTGGAGGCTTAAGGAAAAATTAGAGTACACTCTTCATTTAAAAAACCCTAGTGGACTGGCTTTGTATCTTGGCTAGTCGATGAGTCCTGTTATCCTGTGTGGTCATCCACGGAAGGGCTGTAAGTTCAGTTGTAGACGTGGGAGTGTATGTGTGTACCTGTGTGTATGCGTGTGTACATTTATATATTTATAGTCAGTGTTATGATTTGTATGTATGGAATAGATAGGGTCTATTTAAGTTTTAAAATAATATAGAACTTTTCCTATTTGGGAAAATGAAGAAAATGACATCAGATCTAAGTCTAGCAGGAAAGCAAAGCACTGAAGTCTTCAGTTAGTTATTTAAAGTTGGACCATGCGTCTCAAGAAACCAAACCTGACTCTATGGGCATCAGGGCATCGTCAGCCCTTTACCGTAACTCAGGGACTTTTCGTGGTCCCGCTAGGAAACTGTGCGCTCTGAATGAAGCTCGCGGCTTTCCTCTTCTAGTCCTTCTTTCCTCCACCAACTAAAGTTTCTCTTGCTTGAAGGAAGGAAAAGTCTTAAAGCATCTAATGGTCTTAGTGGTTAAAGGACTTGGTCCTTCCCTGTGGCCTGGCAATAGGACTATTTTAAGGGTTCTTATTTTTAATTCGCTGAAGCTATTATTCTATAATATTATATTTGTTATAATGTGCTTATTTTCTCTAGAAGCACCTGAGGGCTGTGTTGTACAGGGCTCAATTTTAAAAATAAAATAAAATAATGTTAATTATGCCCTGGAGGTTGGCAGATGTGGACTTAAGAATTATTGCATTGTAAGGGTATCCCTCAGTTATGTGCTTACTCATAAATATCTGACCATCAGTCAGCCTATCTGGGCAGCCAAATCTGTAGACTCGTCTGGGGTTCAAGGATACCAAAAGTGCCAAAGCTTTGCTTATCCCAGCAAAAAGGGTTTTATGCACTTTGGGACCAAGTAACCAACATTTCCATGGTGGAAAATCAAAGTAGAGGATCTGAGAGAACAAGATTTTCTTAACAGTCAAACATGGGAGCCCTTTGGAAGGA